TGTAAGCTTCTTGTACTTTCATAGGCATATCCTTCTGTAGGTTGGGGAAGTTTTCTTCCATGATTTTGGTGAATATGTTTTCTGTACCTTTGAGCTGTATTTCTTCACCTTCTTCTATACCTGTTATTCTTAGGTTCGGCCTTTTCACGGTGTCCTGTATTTCCTGGATATTTTGTGTTAAGGATTTGTTAGACTTGAGATTTTCTTTGGTCAATGGCTGTATATCTTCTAGAGAGTCTTCAACTGAGATTCTCTCTTGCATCTCTTGAATTCTATTGGTTATACTCACATCTTTAGTTCCTGATCGTTTATCCAGCCTTTCTATTTCCAGCATCTCCTCATTCTGTGTTTTCTTTATTGTTTCATTTCAGCTTTCGTGACTTGAACTGTTTTGAGTGCTTCCTTTTGTTTGCTTGGTTGTTTTTTCTTGGCTTTCTTTAGATTCTTTAAGAGATTTATTTATTTCTTGAATTTTTTGGTTTGCCTTTCTTCCACTTCATGTAATATTTTGCTTGTTTTTTCTTCTATTTCTTTAAGGGATTTTCTTGTTTCCTCTTTAAAGGTCTCTATCATCTTCCTAAGATATTTTTTTGAGGTCCATCTCTTCTTCATCCTCTGTGTTGGGCTTTTCAGTTCTTGCTGGTGTGGAGTCCCTAGATTCTGGTGGTGTCATATTGGTCTTTCTGTTGTTGAGTGTGTTCTTATTCAGTCTTCTTCCCATGTCTTCTTCCAGTGGTGCAGGTGGGGTCTCTCTATCTCCTCTTGTCACCCGGTAGTGTGTGGGGGCCAAGACTTCAATGTCTGCAGCTGTGGATGGTCTTGCCCCTCCTGGTAGTCTCCTCACTTGGTAAGGGACAGGCCGGCAGTGGAAAGGGGAAGGAAGAATGAGGTGTTTCCAGACTCAGGGAACTCCTTCCTGTCTGGGCAGGTCCAATCTAAGTAGGCTCAGGCCCAGAGAGATCAGGGGTGACTGGGAAGTTGGGTAGGAATAGGACAGGAGCAGAGGGTGCACTCACCTTGGTAGGGGTCAGGCCGTTGGAGCTAACTTAATTATTCTTATACCTTAAAAGTATCTCTTTAATTATTTTGCCCATCTTTTGGCTCTTAAAAATTGGGTTCTTTTACTGAATAGTAGGCCTTTTTATATTCTTAGGTAAGTCTACAATTGCATTTTGTGATTTCTTTCCTTTGTTTTAATAGACTGAAGTTTTTAGAGTAGTTTTAGGTTTGTAGTAAAACTGATCAGAAATTACAGAGAGCCCACCCATACCCCATTTCCTCAACTTGTCCAGAGCTGTCAGAATCCTGAAGCTAGAGTTGTATGGATGTTATAGTTGAGGACATTGTCACATCATCATCATCCCAATGGGACTCCCATTTTCTTTTTAATTAAGATTGATTATTTAAATTACATGTTTTATTTTTGTATGTTGCCACATCCAGCATGGCTCCAGGGACAGACCTGACTGGGGAAATGAATGAAGAAGACAGACATAGAGACAAAAAAAACTGGGATCTGGTGGTCTGGGGCCTTGGCAGGAGAAACAGCAACTTAGCGTGTTTATTATATGGAGTTGAACAGGGAGGTGAGTTACTGTATACAGCTAGATCAGGGAGGACAGTGGGTGATACAGACGTTAAAGGAGACAGGATTTATGGTATCAGCTGGACCAAGAAGACAGGTTTAGCTAATCTGTGTAGGAACAGTCTGTGTAGGGGAGCAGTCTTCAGGTCGTAAATATCTGGGGGTGCGAATTTCTGCACATTCTATCAGTATCTACACACAGACTAGAGGGACAGCTTTGCCATTTCCCTTTGAGCTTTAACCTCGAGGAGAAGGCTTTGTCATTTTCTCTCTGGGTCTGAGGCTGTGGAGTTCTTGACATGGTTGTGACTATGTCAACAATACACATTCACTTGGGACTCCTCTGCTCCCTGCAGTATGTGTTTGTATGTGGGAGGGAAAGGACACTTGTGTGGTGTGGTGCTTGTGTATCAGTCAGAGGACAGCTTCTGAGAGTTAGTTCTCGTCAAGTGAGATCTAATCCTGGGGATTAAAACTCAAGTCATCAGGCTTGGCAGCAAGTGACTATCAGCTGAGCCATCTTGACAGCCTGGGACTTTTCATTTTCTTAACTGTGTTCTCTAAAGTGCAAAAGATTTTAATTTTGGTGAGATAATCAAATTTTTATTTTATGGATGATCCTTTGGTTGATCTAAGAACTCTTTGTCCAGCATACTGGCATGCTTTGGTTTTTTTATTCTCCGTCTCTTGGTTATAGTGAAATGCCTAACCAAAAATGTACCTTCCTAACCATTTCCAAGCACAGTATTGAACAGGTTGATGATGTACAGCAGCTACCACCATCTTTCATGGCAACAATTTTTCCTTGTGAAAGGGAAACTGTCCCTTACACAACTTCCATGTTTTTTTCTTTCAGGGCCTAACAGCTGCCACTCTACTTCATACCTTTAACACAAGGACTAAGTATTTCAGGCAATGCTATTGGCTGTGCTGTTTTTTTTCTTTTGAGATGGGAATATTTTCTTCAGCATATTCTCAACTTCATCCATGTTGCAGCATGTAGTTACTTTCCTTTTAATGGTATTCCATTGTGTGTGGCCAAGGCAGTGCTTACCTACCTGTGTGGTCATTCAGGTTGCTTGCTTTGAGGTTGGGAATAATCTGCTATGCATGTGGGTGTCTTGGTATCTCTTCTAGATGCTGCCTGCAGTTCTTTGGGGGTATTTCTTAGAGTGTAATTACTAGGCCATATAGTAATTCTATTTTCAATTTCCCCTGTTTTGAAAAAAAAATCTACTTCCTATATATGATGAATTTCTCTGAATAATGTATATGCCGTGCTGGCAGAGGGCATTGGCACCTCCAGAAGTAGAATTAGACACTGGTGAGCTGCCATGTGGGTTCTGGGATGCGAACCTGGGTCTTCTGCAAGAGCAGGAAGCACCCTTCACTGATGAAACTCTGGTTCTTTTCTTTCCCCTTTTGAGACAGTCTTGCTATGTAGCCTAGACTGTCCTGAGATTTGCTATGCAGCTGTATCAGATTGGCCTTAAGCTGGTTTAGCCTCTGCCTCCTGAGTGCTAAGATTGCAGGTGTGGGTCCCCTGTAAAATATTTTGAATGTTTAGATGGCTCTCAGAGTAGGCACACCATTTTATGTCACAACAGCAGTGTACAAGGGTTACAGTCTCCTCAGTTTCTTTGCAGCCTCTCCAGCACTTATTTTCCTTTACTTAAAAACTATTTGTGTGTGTGTGTGTGTGTGTGTGTGTGTGTGTGTGTGTGTGTCACACCATGTGCATGCTTGTGCCCTTGGAGAACAGAAGAAAGTATTGGATTCCCAGGAGCTGTAGTTAGAGGGGGTTGTGAGCTGCCTTAGGGTGCTGGAAATGGAACCCAGTTCTGTAAGGACAGCAAGCTCATACCTCCTACCTACTGAGCCATTTTTCAGCACCCCCCCCCTTTTTCCCTCAGCTTTCTTTCTGTATGTTTGGTTGGTTGGTTTGAGAGAGACAGTTTCTCTGTGTAGCCCTGGCTGTCCTAGAATTTTCTTGGTTGACCAGGCTGGCTAGGAACTTAGAAAACCACCTGCCTCTGCTTCCCAAGTGCTAGGATTAAAGGAATGCACCACTATGCTTGGTGATTATAACTTCTTCCCTTCCCTTCCCTTCCCTTCCCTTCCCTTCCCTTCCCTCCTTCCCCTTCCCCTCCCCTCCCCTTCCCTTCCTTTTCCTTCCCTTCCCTTCCCTTTCCTTTCTCTTCTTTTCCCTTCTCTTCTTTTCTCTTCCCTTCCCTTTCTTTTTTTTCCCCTTTCTTTCTTTTGGTTTTTCAAGAGAAGGTTTCTCTGTGTAACAGCTTTGGCTATCCTAGAACTCACTCTGTGAACCAGATGGCTACAGACTCAAGGAGATTCGCTTCCTGTTACCTCCTGAGTTTGGGGATTAAAGGCATGGGCCATCACACCCGGCTAACAGTGGCTTTCTTAATAGATTAGGGGTAGTTCTTATGTTTTCTTTTTTGGGAGATTTTAAGATTAAAACAATTAAGTGGTTCTTTTGGTCATTTTTCTGAGTTAGAAAGTGTAGTTAAAAATAGAGTAATACTATATATATAACTATAGCAGACACTTTAAAATAATGTATTTCCTTAATATTGGTTACTAATTATCTCTTTTGTGGTTGACCCATTAAACTAATTTCTGGACTCTTGGATTTCTGTTTTCGGTGCAGTAATTACTTTTGTACACAGATCTGTTAAATCTGAAAACTTCTTATTGTTTCACTTCATCATTTAGCTAAGTTTTCCCAGCCAGTTAAACCCAGACTGTTCAAAAAGCAGCCTGCATTAATGTGAGATGGGCTTATGGCCCTTTGTAACTCTCTCAGAGGAACATATAATTTAAAAGAATCAGTGAATTCTTACAGTTGGTAAACTCTCACCTGAATAAGGTGAGTAGTAAGCAATTCCAGAGCAAAGTTTTTAAAGTCCAGCATTGGTGTAGGCAAGTGTCACTGTGTGAGGGCTGCTTTTCCTCTTCAGAGCAGGCTGTCTAAAGCCTGGTAACATGCTGGCTGTTTCCATCACTGTAAAGGAGCTAAACCTAGCTTTGAATACTTGGCTCAGGCTACACAGTTGGTTCACCGTTGACACTTTATTCTGATAAAGGTCACTGCTGGCTGTCATTGAAAATACAAATGTATTCATGCATACTCAAGCATTCTTGTGTTTACAGGTCGCCCTGCATTTATTCATCCTCCTAAAGATGCATCCTGACTTGTCTCCACACTTGCACACCGAGGAATGCAACGCCTTGATTAACTTGCTTAAGGAATGTCACAAAAATGTAAGAATTCAGAAGAATGACCGTAAAGCTCAAGTGAAACTTAGGTACAGCGCTAATGAATTTTCCGTTAACACAAAGGGACAGTGGCAGTGCGTTAGTAGCAGGTGTAAGATGCCTGCAGCTTGTTGTGTATGATTCCATGCTCTTTATGACTGGCAAAGTAGAGCGCCTGTGTAGTCCTGTAGTTGGAATGCATGTCCTTACAGTGAGGCATGTTACTTCCCTTGTGAAGGATGCTGGGACAGATAGTGCACCTCCAGTTCCTGATCACATGCCATCTGTCTTCTAAGGTTGTCTGCTCCTTGATAGTCACCTTTATGTAAGTATGTGTTAACTAGCTCCAGTTTTTGACTGGCCAGATTTGATGGGTTTACTTAAGTCCGGGAAGATTGGGAAGAAGAAAATGAGCCCATATGGGACTACACTTTTTTTTTGTAGATGTTGAATATTTGGTTCAGTTTTACAGTTTTACCAAGCATTAGTGTTTTCCTTTAACTTTGTGCTTTTATTTATCTCATGATGCTGTAAACTATAGATATATCTCATTTAGTAATGATGACTGCCACTCAGATGAGTAAGATTAAGACCCAAAGAATGGGTAATAAGTAATACCAACAGTCTTTGCAGGCAGATGTTTTATTGGGTCAAAGAATGCTGTTGGTGATGACAAACTTTGGGCAGACAGTTCACACAATATATATGTGAGTCAAGCATTAGGTGCTCTTATGCTGGGAGATGGTGGCGCACACTTTTAATCCCAGCACTCGGGAGGCAGAAGCAGGCGGGTCTCTGAGTTAGAAGCCAGCCTGGTCTACAGAGTGAGTTCTAGGACAGCTAGATCTACACAGAGAAACCCTGTCTGAAAACAAACCAACAACAGAAAAAGAATTAGACACTGTCTTGCATACACTCTACCTAACTGGCAAATGACCCAGGTGACATAAGTGAAATACAACTTAAGGGATTTAAAGTAAAACTATAAAATGCTATTTTAAAAAGGAGCTGATTGTGTTGATTTAGTACAGGACATTTTAGTGCTGTATATAGTAAGTTGTAGGCAAGGACAGAAAAGGAGTGGGACTGACAGGGAGCCCATGAGACTTCATAGAGTGACAGTTCTATCTTGTTATTAAGGTCCTTAGGCAGAAATGCTAGACGTGGATGCCATCGTTTCATATGTACCTCTGCCTCAATGAGTTAAGGGTCAGGGGTTTTAGTCCTTGCTTTTAAGTATTCTTTGTTGGCTGGCTTGGTGGCTCGGTAACAGTGCTTGCTGCCAAACCTGAAGACCTGCATTTGACCCCAGGACCCATATGCTAGAAGGGGAGACCCAACTCCTGAAAGCTGTGCTTTGACATGCATGCATGAGTGTTCACATGACACACATAAATGTCATTTTTAAAAGTTATTTGGTGTTACATGTTACTTGTATATTAACATTTGGTCCCAGACTGTTATAAATTTGAATAATTTCATGCATTTGGTTCTTCTTTTTCTTTCTAAAATATTTTATACAGTAAAGGTAACATATAAACTTCTAGAACCAAAGATAAACTTTAAAAATTAACATCATCGATATACATATAAATAATAAAATGTATAATTTTTTGGTTTTTCAAGAGAGGGTTTCTGTGTGTAGCCCTGGAACTCACTCTATAGACCAGGTTGGCCTTGAACTCACAGAGATCCGCCTGCCTCTGCCTCTCAGGTGCTGGGACTAAAGGCATGTGCTACTAGCACATGGCTAGAATTTATAATTTTAGTGTACAGTTTAATGAGTTTGACCAACACCCTTGCCACCATGCTACAATCAATACAAACTGTCCCCTCACATCAGTGTCCCCAGAGGGTTTGTAGTGTTCTTCACACGGACCCAGGGAACTCACCACTACCTTTTACTCTGAGTAGAGGGCTTTGCTACTGTGGCGTTGTTGTAAATGTACCCTTTACATCCGCTTGCACACTGTGCCTCTGTTGTAAGGCTGGTATTGGCTGGTATCTGCTGTTGGCTGTGCCATTGGCTTGAAGGCTCTTATTTCTAGGGATGGTGCATTGTCCAAGCACCACTTGTCTACAGCTTATCTCCATAGTGGTAGACATTTGGCTTGTTAGAAGCTGTGCTGCTTACAAGCAATTGTGTGGATATCTTTTAATTTATCTTGGATGAATGCATAGAGATGGAATGACCAGATTGTATGGTGTCTAAAGAAACTGCCAGACTCTTCCCATTGTGTACTGTTTAATGTTCTCACTAGCAATTGCTGTAAGTGTTTTAGTCTCAGCCTGTTCATGAGGATGTAGTAATGTCTCCTTTTGGTTTTAAGAGTGTATTTCTCTGAGGGCTAATGATTTTAAGGTTTTTTTTTCATGTTCATTTTGGTTACTTATACAGTCTTTCCCTTATATTTAAAAATTTGAGTTGTCTAAATTTTTTAATGATTTGGCATATAAGTCTGATAAATATGTTATTTTTGTCCATTCTGTGAAATTGTTAATCTTTTTTTTTTTTTTTTTTTTTTAAAGTATAGGGTCTTTCCATGTAGCCCTGGCTGGCCTTGGACTCACAGGGATTCACCTGCCTCTGCCTCCCTAGTGGTAGGGTTAAAAGTGTGTATGACCACACTTGACTTTTTTTTTTCTTTTTTATTTTTTAAGATTTATTTATTATGTATATATCATTCCTCCTCATGTATCCCTGAAGGCCAGAAGAGGGCACCAGATCTCATTATAGATGGTGAGCCACCATGTGGGTGTTGGGAATTGAACTCAGGACCTCTGGAAGAGCAGCCAGTGCTCTTAACCTCTGAGCCATCTCTCCAGCCCCAACTTTTCATTTTCTTAAAGATGTATTTCAAAGAGAAACTTATAGATTTGGTAAGGTCATATTTACTTTTTTTATGGTTTGTCCTTGTTTGTTTGCTTATTTGTTTATTTAAAGCTCTCCTAACAATCTTTTTGTGTTCCTTGTGATCACAAAGTATTTATTTATTTATTTATTTATTTATTTATTTATTACTAGATTCATGTGGTTCTGCTTTTATATGTAGGTCTCTGGTGGATGGTTCAGTTTCATGTTTGGTGTGAGGTATGATTTGGAGGTTCGTTGCTTTCCTGATAGATACCTAGTTGTCTTAACATCATTGGAGAGACTGTCATGCCCTACTCCCTTACCACCAATTTATCTTCAAAATCACCTGACTGTACTTGAATAAATGTGTTTCTGGCTTTGCAGTCTACCCTGACATTCTTTTGCCTGTTCTCTCTCTTTAAAAACTTGTTTTTCAGCCAGGTGGTGGTGGCGCATGCCTTTAATCTAGCATGGGATGGGGGCAGAGGCAGGTGGATCTCTGTGAGTTTGAGGCCAGCCTGCACTACAGAGTGGGTTCTAGGATGGGTTCCAAAACTATACAGAGAAAACTTGTCTTGAAAAACTAAAACAAAACAAACAAATCAATAAAATTATTTCTCTGTTTTAGCTTTTTAAAGGACTGAGGATGTAGCTCTGTTGCCAGAGTGCCAGCGTTCAGTCCTCAGTACCACATACACTGGTTCATGGTTACAATCACGGTATTTAGAGCAGTGCTTCTCAACCTTCTAGTGCTGCAACTCTTTAATACAGTTCCTCATGTTGTGATATTTCATTGCTACTGAATAACTGTCATTTTCCTGCTGTTATGAATTGTTAATGTAAACATCTGATATACGACCCCTGTGGGGTTGTGACGCACAGGTTGAGAACCATTAGTTTAGAAGCTGTGAAGGCAAGAGTATCGGAAGTTCGATTACTCACAACATAAGATCAAGACCAGCCTGCACTACACAAGATTTTTATCACAATACATAAACAAAATAACTGTTTTAGTTAAGGTGAAGAGACAGCATGACCATGGCAACTCCTATAAGGAAAACATTTAATTGAGGGGGCTCGCTCACAGTTTCAGAGGTTTTAGTCCATTATCATCATGGTGGGGAGCATGGCTGCATGCAGAGGTGATGCCGGAGCTGAGAGTCCTACATCTTGCAGGCAACAGGAAGTCAACTGACACATACTGAGAGAAGCTTGAGGAAAGAGACCTCAGAGCCCTCCCCCACAGTGACACACTTCCTCCAACAAGGCCATACCTCCTAATAGTGCCACTCCCTTTGGGGGCCATTTTCTTTCTTTTTTTTCTTTAATAATTAATTTTTTACATTCCAATCCCAGTTCCCTCTCCCACCTCTCCTCTTGCTCTCCCCGCTCCTCCCTCATCCCATCTGCTCTACCGAGAGGGTAAGGCCTCCCCTAGAAAGTCTACTAAATACGTCCCATCATCTCATTGAAGCAGGACCAAGGCACCTCTCCATCCCCACACCCCTGTGTCTAGGCTGGGCATCTATCCATATAGAATGGGCTCCACTAAGTCAGTTTGTGCATTAGTGTTAGATCTTGGACCCATTGCCAGTGGCCTCATATATTGTCCCAGTCACACCATTGTCACCTATATTAAGCGAGTATAGTTCAGTCTTATGCAAGTTCCCCATTTGTCAGACCTGAGTCAGTGATCTCTCACTAGCTCTGGTCAGCTGGTTCTGTGGATTTCCCCATCATGGTCTTGACTCCTTTGTTCATATCTTCGTTCTTCCATCATGTCGATTGGGGGGCATTTTCTTTCAAACCACTACAAAAACCTCCTCAACTTTAAAATATTATTGTATGTATGTGGGTACAAGTGCCATGGTGTGTGTGTGTGTGTGTGTGTGTGTGTGTGTGTGTGTGAGTGTAGAGGCAGATGACAACTTGAAGGAGTTAGTTCGTTCCTTCCACCTTGTTTTAAGGCAGGATCTCTCTCATTTCTCTGTTGTGCTGGGTAAGTGAGCTTCTGGCCCATTGTGTCTCTACTTCCCACATTGCCCTAGTAGTACTGGGATTACAGACTCAGCTTTTTGTATGGTTTTAAGGCACCAAACTCAGGTTGTCAGGTTTATAAGGCAAGCACTTTTTTCTGCTGAACTCTCTCCTT